AAAAAAAAAAAAAAAAAAAAAAAAAAAAGTAGGTCAAAGAGAAAACGATGAGCTTGTCGACAAACAGATCAGCAGTTGAAGTCCTGCATAGAATAATCATGCCAGGTAACTTAGTTGCATTTTCCCTCCAAAAAAACTTAGTTGCATTTTTGTTTTGTTTTTTTTTTCCTTGATTTATTCGTGTCATGCTTGCGCAGGGGCCATGCTAATCTTCTCTCTCTGTATCGTTCCAATTCTTTTAACGCATGTCCCTTAGGACAAACTTAGTTGCATTTTTAGACTTCGGTTGCGTTTTCCCTCCAAAAAACTTAGTTGCATTTTCCCTCCAAAAAACTTAGTTGCATTTTCCCTCCAAAAAAACTTAGTTGCATTTTCCCTCCAAAAAAATTAGTTGCATTTTCCCTCCAAAAAAAGGAAGGAAGCAAGTGCACTATTCCGACTACTGTCATCACCCGAGTAGAATGCGTGGTCGTTATTGATGTATCTAGACTGAAAGTTGCCCCAAATACAACTATGATTACTGTTGCTCTGTTCGTCTGAAGACCGAAGGCCGTAACTGCAAATGGCAATGTTGAATGTACTCACTATCGCTTTAAGTTGTGATGGCCTCAAAAAAGCATGCGGTCCCCACCAGTCCACCTTTGCGAAACAAATGCTCTGGTGTCCTGCACTTCAGTTCTGAGAGCCGGGGAGGGAGGGGGAGAGGGGGGAAGGGGGGAAGTGGGGGGGGGGGGGGGGGAGGGGGGAAGTCACGGCCAGAACTGATTGTGCGAATAACAAGCTGCGTGACTGCCGCAGTGGCGCCACAAACGGAGGATGTAAACAGGAGAGCAAAGCAAGAAGTGATTGGGAGCCAGGTGGAGTCGGTCTCATCCGTTGTCACATGAAGTGAACCGGAATAGAACGTATGCATTGGATGGTGATCGCAGTGGTATTTGGGGCAGTTTTCAGTCTAGATACAGCTGCAATGACCTGCACAAATCGCAGTCTGAGAAGTTATTGTGAAAGTGGGGCTTCTCAACTTTTCTGAGAATTCCGAGCCTGAATCTGTTTTGCTGTGATTTGCTGTGCTTTCTAAGCATGTATGTGATCGACCACTATGACCGTGTCTGCTTTGTGTGCCTGCCTGAGTTCACGGCTGAATTCGGTGTGCTAACTTTTCTTGGTGATGTTGCGGGGCTGTGCCATTGAACAGGGACAGGGTGGTAATGGGAGCACCCCCAGGGGCAGGGCGGAAAAATGACGGCTAGGCTGGGCTACCTACCAGCTGGGCCGCCTGGGTCACCCTATTTTCCCGGGGGGCCTGGCCGTGCAAGGACCAGAGAAGGTCCTAGCAAAAAAAAAAAAAATCAAAACTGAACAACTTTTGCCTCAGGGTCACATCGAAATTCTTTGCCAAATATAAAATAAAAAAGCAAAAATATATCTATATATATACCTCCGACGAAACAGTTTGCCACAGCCCCTCGTTTGTTGTCCTCTTCTCCCTCTCTGCCTACGGTTTACGGGGCAGCTCTGTTTGACTATATATATCTCTATATATTCATCCGTTTTTTTTTTGTTGTTCGGCCTATGAGAGCATGAATGGCTTAGGAATGGGAATACCCACGTCTTGATGACGAATAAGGCCATCTGCTGTATATAGTTTTTTTAGCACACAAGAGTTTTGTCCTGTGAAGGACGGGTGGTGCTTGCATGTGGGACTTGTCATCTAGGATCCGTTTCTGGTGCTGATGCTTGTTGCCCCCTTTTTTGTTGTATTTGGCTGTCCCCTTCCTCTTTTCTTTGCCTCTTTGCCCTTTGGCTGTGTGCAAGTGGGTCGATATGACACACGGGGGTGGGGGCAGCCGCCGCTCAACCTACATGCCGGTGGGCGCACATACATGCACGTGGGCGGCCTTGTACGCAAGAGGTTCTGAACAGGGGGAGTTGTAAGAAAGAAGATAAAAAAATGAATTGACATCTTTTTTGTTTCCTTTTTGTTTTTTTTTGGCTTTTGCGCTCTGATAACTTTGTGACAATATATACCGGGCAGTTCTGTTTGTGACGATATATATATATAAGATCATTCCTCTGGCACCGTAGTGCAGCAGTACAATGTACAGACACTGCGTGACCTTCTCCTTTGCACAGCCACAGACACTGTTGCACTTGGGTGTACTCGCCATCATCTTTGTCACAATCACTACCACRAGATGGTTTCTGCATCCATGTGTGTACAGGATTGTCCCTCCGTTCCTGACTGCAGGCACCCTCCTCATCCGGACACTATATGTCCATTTTGTGGCCACGGACGCTATGCTGAATGCATGCTCTTTTGTGGAGGGCGTTCTTCCTTTATTCTGGCCTGCAATAGACATGCTATTTGTCAGGAATGTATGGTTGGCATGCTTAATGCCAGCCGTCGTGGCAGTTGTTGTTTTGAGAATGCTCAGTTAGGTCTTCCATGCGCTCATCCA